CGTTCACATACTTGGTTTGATGTATGTGAATATCATGGTTCTCATTTGTTTCGATTTGCATTCCGAGGAAATACGAAAGAGGCTGTGACGTTATCTCAAGTTCTTGACCGAGAGAATCTATGAACTGAAGTACGATCTTCTTCGTTACTCCTGCGCACAGGCCATCATCTACGTAGATGCAAACGATGATTCTCTCTGCCCCATTTCGATAGAAAATGCAAGGGTCAGTCTTGCTCTGACTCAAACCCTTCTTCAGAAGAATGGACTTGAATTTCGGGCTGAACTCGAACGGTGACTGACGGAGGCCATAGATAGCACGTAAGAGTCTCCAGACTTTTCCTCAGCTGCAATGCTTAAGACGCAGCGGACGCCCTCAAGTCTTGCGAACGGAGAAAAGATCCGATCAGGACTGAAGTCCACATTTTCTTGCTGCAAGAATCCGCGCGATACCAAGCGCGCCCTGTAGATTTTGGTACCGTCCTGTGGATTCACTTTGATCTTGAAGATCCATTTTGAATCGATTGCTTTCCTACCTGGTGGAAGCTCAGTTAGCTTCCACTTTTTCAAGTTTTCCATGGATTTTAATTCCTTTTGAATGGCTTCTTGCCATTTTTCTTTTCCTGGGCTGCTCATTGCATATTTGTATGAGGCGGGCTGATACGAACCATTTTCATCGTTACGCGTCCTTGCCTTCGACTGAAACACTGACGGGTCATCATCTTCACTGTCCGTGTGGCATTGTTCGTTTTCTGTGTTTAGATTGTTTGCGTCTGCCAAGTATCTTGATGGACGGCGAATGTGTTCACGTGGACGTAAATTGCGTGTGGGTACAGACGATTACATGACTGCATCAGAAGTTTCTTCTGATACTGTGTTTTCAGTGTTGAGTGTGGGCTGTGTTTCATTTTCATGGTCAACTTCAGTGTTTTCTTGTTCATCTTCGTGTTCTGAAAGTGTGTGTCCTTCTGAGTCCTCATTGTGTGCAAACAACGTTGGCTTTTCAAAGACAACGTCCTTGGTGTTGATGATCGTCTGAGTTTCTGGCAACCAGATTCTATATCCGGGGCCATGATCTAGGTATCCAACGAGTCTACCCGGATCGCCTCGACGCTCCAACTTTCGCAGTTTCGGCTGTTGTTTTCTCACATAGCATTTCATGCCAAATGGTTGGAGTTTTCCAATATATGGTTTCTTCTTATATATGATTTCGTATGCTGACTTGTTCAGCTCTTCATGTATGGATACGATGTTCAATATATCCACACAGTAGCTGACACATTCAGCCCAGAGGTACTTTTTATGTTCAAAACCGGCACTGATTAGAACGGATCTGACCAAATATATGACTGTGTGATATCCACGTTCCG